CCGTAGCACACAAAATCGGTCCGAACTGTAGTAGCGAGGTCCCCGCGGACTTGCTACAGATCCTTTCAAGAGTTGAAGCTTAGATGACTACCACTCTTATTCTCATTATACGAAAACGTAGTTTGGGGTATACGGTGTATTGTGATGCTTCAAGGAGGCTTAGGATGTGTTTTGATCCAAGAATGCAAGGTAGTGGCATACGATTCCCTGACAATAAAACCTCATGAAGAAATTATTTGACCCATGATCCAGAGCTTGTCATCGTCATTTTTGCCTTGAAACTTTGGAGACATTATTTGTATAGTGAGAAATTGAAGTGTTCTTTGATCATAAGAGTCTCAAGTACCTCTTTTTCCAAAACGATTTGAAACTTGCATCAAGAGAGATAGATGGAATTTATGGAGGATTAATGATTTTAATTACACTATCATCTTGGAAAGGCCAATGTAGTGACCGATGCTTTGAGTAGAAAATTTGTAAGTACTTTGGCTAGTCTTGCTATAAGGGAATGGAAGATAATGGTGACATTAGTGAGTTTGGCTTGTAACTTTGCGAGACCACTGCGCAAGCGACCTTGTTCGCCGCTATTGCACAACATACACTTGTCACACAAGTAGTGGAAGCATAATAGGGTGACCGGAAGTTGGAGACTATCTAAGAGAGAATCACCAATAGAAAGGAAGAGAATGGTCTGAACATTCATACCCACTTGAGCATTCGTTATCTTGATCAATTTATTTATACCCGAGCCTATTAGAGATGAAGTTCTTCGAGAATTCTTGTCACAACCTGAACCGCCCTAAGAGGTTTGGATCATGACCAGTCATAATCATGAGATTACCTACAGCCTCAGATAGAATTTAAATCATATTTAATAATATGAGGCCAGAAGTGGATGCAGAATTATAAAATTTGTCCATTGAACTGTGCATATATGGCATAATCAAAAGTTTCTTAAATGGTAATAACTCACATTAATACATATACAAGTAGATATACATGTTCAAGATCATTCACATGTCATCATTATGTAGAACCAAAAACCATAAGTAAACTATGGTTAAACAGGGCCATCAAAAGAAAACAAGGAACAAAAGACAAAAGCCTCATCCATGAGGCATTATATAGTTGACTCCACAAAACTTGGGTAATCGCTTGTAGGTTCACTAGGACTGACATCTTGCTGCTCACCTACATACATATATATAACAGAGTGAGCTAAAGCCCAGTGAATAACGACAGACTAATGAGGTTATATGAATGAGTTCTAAGGCTTAAAGAAATCATTCTCAACATTATTATAGCGAAACGACCTCGGGTCCAATACATGACATAACAACCTTTGGTCAAACATAAAACAATACATAGTTGAACATATCATACTGTAGACGCGCCCGCGAGGGGCCTCGCTACAGTTCGGACTCGATTTGTGTCACGGTTCAAATCTAAAAAAACCAAGAGTCCAAATCCTGGCAAATCGTTTGAGAAAACAGATTTTTTTGAAAAGTAGTGCCAAACATGGACTGCTTTGCCAGATACAGAGTCTCCACCTAAATATTTTAAAATGGGAAATTTAGGAAACCCTGACTCGGTGCCGAGGCCACAATGTCCGTCATCACCGGAGCGATTGTCTCGGCTCGGGAGCTTGGGTAACGATCGGGAAGGTCAGCCTATGAGCACCCCTTTCGCCCGGTCCGAAGACCGGCCTCTACTAAACCATGATATCCGATTTTGAAAACATTATGTGTTCTTATTCTATTTATTAGCCTAGAATTACTATGTTATGCGCGCAGCAAACAAGTATAGACTAGATTGCCTAATTTGGAAATAAACATTGCATATCCGTTCGGTTGAAAATGCTTTGGAATTTGCTACTCGAAGTAGGCTAAAATGCGGATTTCAACGAGTTTTTTCCAACTCAAACAATCCAACCTCCACCCACAGGCATTAAAACAGTTTATCACATAAGCATTAGCCACATGGTAAACATATCGTTATGTAACATTCACACGCATGCCGAGATGCTAAGCGAAAATACTTACATCGTACTCCGTGCCAAACAAAGACTTGTGACAAACATTGCAATGATCCAAGGTCCATGTTAAGTGCCTAATGCATCGCATACAAAATGTTGCTAGAATTAGGACTGGCTTATCTAAACATGTCATGTGAAATGCACACTATCACATATTAGTTTTGAATTGAAGTAACAAATGCAGTTAGCGATGATGTACGAGCCTAATGCATTAATACATGCATGAATGCAGCATGCATAGCATAAGGTATGCTAAAGTAAACGTGCCTAAACTAACCATCAAAAGCAGGTAAGTAAAAGGAAGAAAAGAAGTGGAATTGAGAAACATTACACAACACCCAACAACTTATTACAGATTTGCCCTCACTCGGAGGGACCGAGATAATATATCAAATTAATTAACTAACTGCAAGCTAACTAATGTTACAATTAATTAATTAACAAATTAATCTAATCTAGGAAACAGTAAATCCCTCGGGAAGCATGCCCACCATGCATGGGCTGCCTCTGTTTTTCCTTCCTTACTTCTCTGGGGCCTGGTCAAAACCTCAGACTGCTTCCTTGACAGAGGGGATCACCAACCGGCTAGTTGGAATTACCCACGGGCAGTGGTGTGTGGGCCATCGGCAGAAATGAGGCTGTCGGCAGAGAAATTGTGCCGGTCGGCACCTTACACTGCCGTCGGCAGAGTGTTCCTGCAACGAATCTGCAAAATGACAGCAACGAGGACAAGGCGAAGCATGGCAGCACAATTCAGGCATATATGCACTAACCATGTCCCTTATCATTGTAAGACTCAAAAGGGCATGTGCCTCGAGTTCTCGGAGCACCAATCACGCATTTTCATGCATGATGGCCCAAGAGACCAAGTATGCAAACTTTGATTTTCAAAATGCCAATGCAAACCAATCAAACCAAATCCCAATCCTATCACCCACATCAAGGGACAAGGAATTGCATGTTGATCATCAACCTAAGCATGTTATGCTATGATGCACATTGACATGGCAACAACCTACGCAAGCAGCAATGCAAACATAGGCAATGCTAACCATGGAAAGGTGTCTAAAGCATGATTTTAGGCAGCTCCAAATAAGGCCTAAAACAAGGGCAAAGTGTTATAATGACGGACCAAATGCACATGCAAACATACACATATTGAAAGGCCAACACTTAGCATAAATTGAAACAACTCTCAAAACACATTGAAAGGGGGAATCGTGACAATTAGATGCAACATAGCATTGAATCATGCTAAAACAATGGTGTCAAAACCAAGCAACAAATCAAGCCAAAGCATGCGCACCAATGGCCTAAGTCGTTCAAACAATGCCAATGGGGCATTTGAACAACCACCTTAACAAGACCAAAACATGGGAGGACCTATCTCTCTCTCTCTCTCTCTATCTCTCTTCTTTATCTGTCTCTCACAAAATTAAAATATTTTTAAAATATTTAAAAAATTGATTTGAATTAAGTTTTGAAAAGAGTTTTGAATTATCTGTCTTCTTTATTTATTGAGCTCCCTTTCGATTTATCGATCCACTACAAGAAAATGCATTTTTAGCGACCACTTTGTCTCTTTCTCGCTCATCATTCTGTCTCTTTCTCTGTCTCTCTATCTCTTTTCTCTATTCGTCTCTCACTCATCTCTCTTTCTCACCACCCATCTTCTCTACCACATTTACCACTACTGCAAATGTCATTCAACTACTACCATTCTTCTATTTCTCTCTTTCACTCATCACTCTTCTTTTTCTGTCTGTTTGTTTATCTGTCTGTGTGTCTTTCGTTCATCTTTCTTCTCTCAATCCCTCTCATTTGTCTTCTCTCTCTGTCTCTCTCGCTCATCTCTCTTCTCTCTATCTCTCTCATCTCTTTTCTCTCTCTGTCTCTCTCGCTCATTTCTCTTTTTTCTCTCTCTTTGTCTCTCTCTCGCTCATCTCTCTACTCTCTATCTTTCTATTTTTCTATTCTCTCTCTCGTTCATATTTTTTCGCTCTTTCTCTCTCTTTTTGTATCGCTTATCTCTTGTTTCTCTCTCTTTTTCTGTCTCTCTCTCTCTCTCTATCTCTTTCTCTCTTTGTCTATTTGTTTCTCTTTCTCTCATTCTCTCTCTCTCACTCATCACTCTTAATAGAAAATATTTTTCATTAAAATATTATCCTTACTTCTACCAAATAAAAATTAATAATAATAATTTTTCATTCATTAAATATTCATTTATGATGAAAATGAAAATTATTATTATTATTTTTTATTATTTAAATATTCATTTATGATGAAAATTATTATTATTTAAATATATATTTTTTTCCCAATCCCGCCCGCTCGGTTCCCCTATTTTTTTCATTCCCACGCCCCCCAAAATCTCCAATCTCTTAGAACCCTAATCGTCTCCTCACTCTCTCAGTCTCATCTCAAGTTTAACTCATCACTGTCTCTCTCTCTCACTCTTTCGTTTCGTTGTTCTTCATATCTGCACCAATCACTCTCTGACTCTCTCGTTGTTCATCTCATCGCACCGATCATCGCACCGCCGATCTACTCACAGGTAAACTCTCTCTCAATCTGTTTGTTTTGGACCAACAGATCTGTTCTGTTTCTATTCAGGACAATGACATATATATATATATATATATCAGATATCTCTCTAATCTGATCTGTCTCCCTCACTCTCTCATCTCATCAGTCTCACTATCTGGTTTTGCATCTCTGCACCGATCGACTCACGGGTAAGCCTCTCTCTCTCTCTCTCTCCCTGATCTCTCATCTCTGCACCGATCGAACAGATTTGTTCTGTTTGTTTGTTTTGGACCAACAAATCTGTTATGTTTGTTTTGGAATCTGTGTGTTTGTTTTGTTTTGGAATCTGATCTGTTTTGTTTATTTTATTCTGCACCGATCACTCTCTGTGTGTTTGTTCTTAAGGAATTTGTTGAATCTGTGTTTGTATGTTAATCAGATTCATGTTGATTTTGTTGAATTTGTTCTTAAGAAATTTGTGTATGTGTGTATGTATGTTAAGAATTTTTGTTGAATCTGTGTATGTATGTATGTATGTTAAGAAATTTGTTCTTAAGAAATTTGTTCTTAGTTGTGTTGAATCTGTTTATGTAGATGGGCTGAGGATTGGGACTATAACAAAATTGTTATTTGCAACAGGTGTTACTATTCTTCATGAATCTTTATGCTTAATCATCACATTTTATGCATTTGAATTACAATTTATTTGCTGAGATGAGATAGCACCTGATTTAGGAACTCTAGTAGAATCATCTGAGTCAATTTTATTTTTAACTTGTTGAGTTCAGGTGTCAAATAGCAGTCCATCAAGAGTGCTATGGAGCAAACAATATTCAGGATTTTACATCATGGGTTTGCAGAGCATGCAAAACTCCTAATGTTGAGAGGGAGTGTTGTCTCTGCCCTGTTAAAGGCATTCCCATTGATATCCTTACTTATGCGTTAAATACCCAGTTTCATTTTCTGTTTTTTGATTCTTATAGATTTGAATGCTGCTTCTGCAGGGGGAGCTTTGAAGCCAACTGATGTTGACTCGCTGTGGGTCCATGTCACATGTGCTTGGTTCCGGCCTGAAGTTGCTTTTGTATATGTTGAGAAGATGGAGCCTGCAGTTGGACTTCTTAGAATTCCATCACATTCTTTTGTAAAGGATGAGTCTTATTTAAAATCATTGTAGAAATGGTGTTTCTAACTGACACAGTGACGCAGCCGACACTACAATGATAAAATTTTGTCAGCAGTGCTTCAAGGCTGGAATATAATTTAGTGTTATACAGTTATTAGATTTTTTTTTATTTTTTTATTATCTTTGAATGAATTATTATTCATAAATATGACAAAAAAAATATATAAAATTATATATCCGCGTGGTGTCCTTTTTTTCCAAAAAAGTTACGATGTTAAAGTGTCTGTGCTTCTTATAACAGGAAAACATGCGGTTTTAGTGGGTTTGAAATAGTTTGGATGTGAATCATGAACTAGAATGCAAATCGACAGATTGAGTTTTATTCCATGATTAATCTGTGGATCAATTAATTTCAGTTTGAAAATTCCCCCAGCCACTCATGGATTAGCCAATAATTGAATAACACATAAACTACTAGTGTACCATGCTCACCTAGTATCCTCCATCACCTTGCTGGCTCGTTGTGTCTCTGTGTATAATAATAAAACAACAATGCTTTTTGAAGGATTTGAATTTGAACCTGTCACTTTTATGAATTAAGAGAAGCTTCTGCTGCACCACTTGACTCCATTCTTTGTTATTTGATTAAGTATCTTGATATTATTGAACTTACAAAACATTAAGTACTGAATCAGCTAGTAAAAGCATCTAGATATTTAGTATAAAAATTATATGACTCAAAAATTATGCAAATAATTACTAATATAATCTTAATTATATTAAAATATAACAATACTTAAATAAATTATTTTTTAAAAAATAATATGATATATAAAATTATATAATATAGATGCTCTCATGGTGCTCTCGATCTTTGCCGAATTAGTTACTTGGGCATGGACACACTAGCATGATAATTTTGAAAAAATAGAAGACATGGCATGTGCGGGACACATGCAAAAGATATATTTGTATTATTTTTCATATATATGATTTTCATTCAAAGATGATAAACATTAATTTTTTAGGTTTAAAGTAGGAGGGATTAATATGTATAAATTTATGTTGTATCCAAATTTATTTTTTCAAACTTATTATGTGTTTGTCCACCTAGGTGTCCAAAGTGTGCCTGGGTCAATTTTTTGAAAAAAATAGTAGGACACAGAGTGTTTGACGAGTGTCAGTGTGTGACAGGCACTCCAACTTCTTGGAAGTGTATATGCTTTTGATTTTAAAGTATATGTTAGATGATAAATGTATAATTGCTATTTAGTGGAACAAGTTGCCATTAATGTTATGTCTTTGGTTTTTTCACCTCCTCTACATGAATCCACACAAAAAATGGCAATTGTACATCTAGGATCCACCATATTTAGAAAATAAATGGACCCACTATTATTTTTTTGAATATGATGGCTCCTGCATGTACAGTGTTTGTTGTGTGAATCTACATAGGAGGCTGAAAAAAAAACTGTGAAATACATCTGGTGATATGCCCTCATGTTTCTAACCTTCTATTCTAAATGTGATACATTTGTTTGAACTGCAGCCATGTGTTATTTGCAAGCAGACTCATGGTTCTTGCACTCAGTGTTACAAGTGTGCCACTTCTTTTCATTCAATGTGTGCATTGAGAGCAGGATATCGCATGGAAGTAAGTTTGCCATGTTTCTTTTTCTATTATGAACAAATAATTTTGAGAAACTACACTATTTTTATAGGCTACTTAAGCTAATGAAATTATTATTTGGAGTTCAGAATGGTTTACAATAAATTTACAATTATTATTTGGAGTTCAGAATGGTTTACAATAAATTTACAACACGTCTGTATTCATATGCATTTTATGATGATTATCTCATTACAGTTCTTGAGTTGGAATAAATAAACGGAATACCTTGTCTATGGTGTTTAATAGAAATCTGTTTTCATATTTGTATGACCATCAGATCATTGCATCTTATTCTGTTCATCTTTGTAATTATATAGTAGTTAATTTTTTATGTTTTCTGTAATTAAAATATTAACACCATTATATTGTCATTAATTATTTTTATTTTGTTATTTTCAGATATTTCTTGAGTAGCAGTTTGCTTCTTGTGGAATGCGGGCGTGTAAAGATTATAACTTTTGTTTTTGAACTTACGGAAGAATCAAAACGAAAACTTTTGGTTTTGATTTATGTTATTTAGATTTGTGAACAACATTATGTATGTATTATGTAATGGGATAATTTTTATTGTTATGAGTTTCTATTTATGTATTGTTATGAATGGAATAACATTACGAATTTTCATTATGTGCTAACTTTTGTTTATGTATGTATTTATATTATTATGTAATTATTGGGTTTTTTTTAGTTATTTTTCATTTAATACAGGTTATTTTCATATTTTTAATAATTTTAATACAGTTTTTTTTTATTTTTTTTATTTTTTTGATACGGTAGCGTCTCAAAAAGAAAATTGAACTAGGGTTTTTTGCGACGGTATCTTTACTGTCGCAAAAGATAGGGAATTGGTTGACAAGTAAGGCCTTTAGCGACGGTGTTATTGCCGTCGCCAATAGTCCTTTAGCGACGGCTCAGGTGCTGTCCCAAATAAACTTTTAGCGACAGCAACACAGTACCATCTCAAAAAAATTTAGATTTTCACGCGTTATTTGCAACAGAATTTTTCCGTCGCAAAAAAGGCATTTTGCCATCGCAAAAAAAAAGGCGACGGTGTCATGCCGTCGCTAAAACCCTTTTGCAACCCCTTTTGTTGCGACCCCGCACTTACCGTCGCAAAAAGTCACTTACCGTCGTAAAAAACTTTTTGAGACGGCGTTTGGAGTATTTGTGACGGCGTTTTACCGTCACAAAAAAGCAATTTTTTTGTAGTTATTAACACCATTATATTGTCATTAATTATTTTTATTTTGTTATTTTCAGATATTTCTTGAGTAGCAGTTTGCTTCTTGTGGAATGCGGGCGTGTAAAGATTATAACTTTTGTTTTTGTAACCTACGGAAGAATCAAGACGAAAATTTTTGGTTTTGATTTACGTTATTTGGATTTGTGAACAACATTATGTATGTATTATGCGACATTATGTAATGAGATAATTTTTATTGTTATGAATTTCTATTTATGTATTGTTATGAATAGAATAACATTATGAATTTTCATTATGTGCTAACTTTTGTTTATGTATGTATTTTTATTATTATGTAATTATTGGGTTTTTTTAGTTATTTTTCATTAAATACAGGTTATTTTCATATTTTTAATAATTTTAATACAGTTTTTTTTATTTTTTTTTATTTTTTTTGAGATGGCAGCGTCTCAAAAAGAAAATTGAACTAGGGTTTTTTGCGACGGTATCTTTACTGTCGCAAAAGATAGGGAATTGGTTGACAAGTAAGGCCTTTAGCGACGGTGTTATTGCCGTCGCCAATAGTCCTTTAGCGACAGCTCAGGTGCTGTCTCAAATAAACTTTTAGCGACAGTATTTTTTGCCGTTGCAAAAACCCCTTTTAGCGACGGCAACACAGTACCGTCTCAAAAAAATTCAGATTTTCACGCGTTATTTGTGACAGAATTTTTCCATCGCAAAAAAGGCATTTTGCCGTCGCAAAAAAAAAGGCGACAGTGTCATGCCGTCGCTAAAACCCTTTTGCAACCCCTTTTGTTGTGACCCCCCACTTACCGTCGCAAAAAACTTTTTGAGACGGCGTTTGGAGTATTTGCGACGGCGTTTTACCGTCGCAAAAAGTAATTTTTTTGTAGTGTGTATAATATTACACTTTTTTTTTTTAATACGTCGCAAAAAACTTTTTGAGACGGCGTTTGGAGTATTTGCGACGGCGTTTTACCGTCGCAAAAAGTAATTTTTTTGTAGTGCGTCTAATATTACACTTTTTTTTTTTAATATTGTAAAATAGATAATGTTGAAAAAAATAAAGGTCAAATGTGAAATTTCACATAAATTTGAAAAAAAAACACAAAACAAAAAACTTGCAAGCTGGAATTAAATGGCAATTAAGTTCCTCTGAATAATAAATTATATATATACATATTTTGTAGATGTGGCCTACTTTTTAAAGTGAAATCCGGCTCTAACTCCCAAGGAAGAGAAATCCATTAAAGATGAGCCAAAACGGCACTTACAAAAGAGTCCATGCTTACAAGTAGAGCTTACCCAAATCAAAGGAAAAATGAGCAAATAAATACATAAGCAAAGCTAAAAATAGTATCAAAGACATGATCATACATGATCCTAACCTGTACTGCAAAGCAAAAGCGATCATAAGAAATCAGCACTAGGGCTAGTCGAAGATACCACAAAAGCTTCACTCCAGAGAGGGTAAGCTAACAGATCACACCCATGGAACTCAAACACACAGAAAACAAAAATAAAATTAGAAAAAAGCTAAAAAAAGAAAACCAAAGCTGAGATCTGAGGAAGAATTAGATCTGGTGGAAGGAAGGCCACGGCATGGTGGTGGTGGTGGTGTCGGTAGTGAGAAGAGGCGATAGGCAGCAGATCCATTGTATCGTGGGTGTGGCGGCACAAAACAGTGGGAGGCAGCGGAGAAATGGCAGATCGAGCTCCGGTTAAGAGGTGGAGGAGGAGAAAATGCAAAAAAAATTCCACCCTAGGAGAAAGAAGAACCTCACAAAGAGGGAGAGAGTGGGAAGAAGTCTCCCAAGAGTTATTTTGCAGAAAATAAAAGAAAGAGGAGGAAGAGGAGAGAGGCAGCCCGAGAGAAGCCAGAGCCCGCCCCCCCAAGCAGCAGCCTAAATGGAAACCCTAGGAGAGAAAGCTAGAGAGAGAAACTGTGGGTCTCAGTGTTGGGTAGTTGATTTGTTAGATATGGCCTACTTGAAATCTTTCAATCCGTAACAAAATATGCATTAGATAGCATTTAATTATAAAGATATTAATTTTTGTCTTTTTTTTTTTTTTTTAAGTAATCATGTTCATACTTTGAGCATGTAAAAATTAAGTATTACATTGGTAACGCCTGACGATATTATAAACTTACAAAAAAAAATTCGATTGCGATAATGAGGATTGAATTAGTAGAAAATAAAGTGTGTCCAGCTCAATTTTACTTGTGGTTTTTTCTTTACCTTCTTTTTTGTCTTTTAACCAAATTGAAGTGTGAGAGGTTAAAAGTGAAGTATTAATGATGATGCAGTTCGTCCTGGATGGAAGGGTCGGGCTGGTCCAAGCTTTCCAAGTTCCGATTCAGGCGGATGATTCCACCAGATGACCTGCAAGCAAGTTCAAAGGGGAACAGGGTAGTCCCCTAGTGAACCCTCCGGCGAGCAAATCAGTAGAGGAAGAAGAAAATATATATATATATATATAGAGAGAGAGAGAGATAGAAAAGCTTAACCTTTCTCTTGTCTTCGATTCTTGCTTATATCCTTTGGTAATCATTTCACTGTCCCTTGCGACGTGCCCCCTTCCGCCGAAAGCCTGTGTCGTAGCTTACCTTGTTCAAGGTGAGGGGGCTCTGTTCCGACGGGGAGGTGTTATCGTAATAAATGCTGTGATGGGCTGCATTAATGGTAATGTGTTGTGGCAATAACTCTGTAGATCTTTGTCTGCTGATGTGGCCTGTGTTTCACCTACCATGTGCCCGAATGTCATTGGTCCTCCATGCCTAGATGGCCTCCAGCTGTCCTGGGCTTTGCCAACTAGGTTATGCTATGGGTCCCAAGCGATGGGTTTGGGGTTGTTTGCTGTGGGCTGTAAGCCTTATGGGCCTATCCATGTCAGTAGTCCCCCATTTCTGAGTACAGCTTTAGTCCAACGAAGGGAATAGTAATAAGGAAGAGAAGTGCGAACCGAGTGGAGAGGCCGACTGTCAGGCCGCGAGGGTGGCCGAGCGGGAGGGGTCGACCGTTAGGCGTGCCAACCGCAAAGGTGGCCGAGCGGAAGGGGTCGACCGTGAGGCGTGCCGACCACAAGGGTGGCCGAGCGGGAGGGGTCAACCGTTAGGCGTGCCGACCGCAAGGGTGGCCGAGCGGAGGGAGCTGACCGTGAAGGTGGCCGAGCGAGAGGGGTCGACCGTTAGGCGTGCCGACCGCAAGGGTGGCCGAGCGGGAGGGGTCGACCGTGAGACGTGCCGACCGCAAGGGTGGCCGAGCAGGAGGGGTCGACCGTTAGGCGTGCCGACCGCAAGGGTGGCCGAGCGGGGGGGGCTGACCGTGAAGGCGTGCCGACCGCAAGGGTGGCCGAGCGGGGGGAGCTGACCGTGAAGGTGGTCGAGCGGGAATGGTCGACCGTTAGGTGTGCCGACCGCAAGGGTGGCCAAGCGGGAGGGGTCGACCGTGAGGCGTGCCGACCAGGATGGCACGGGGCTCAGAAAAGGGGGGGCGTGCCACGTGATGATGTGAAATGGAAAGGACAGGGTAAGGGGAGGGGACAGTGCATCGTGGCCATACACGTGGCAATATCGTGGGGAAAGTGAAGCGTTGGAGCAGAAATGAAACGATAGGTCACGAGGGGGGGTTTTGAAAAGGCGGTTTTGGCAATTAATTTGAAAGGTTTTTAAACGGGCGAAAATTAATGTGGATCCACGGAATACGGGTAAACCGTGGGTTTTTGGTATAATTCGTTTCACCTACCTTTTTACAAAAAATCAAAATACCCAAGTGTTAATTCCTTCATTGCGCACGACACACCTGTGCAACATTTTCTCAACTTCCTTGCTCCTGCGTCAGAAGTGATTCGTAAGCGAACCCTAGAAATGGCACAAGAAGAAGCGGTGAATGT